CTTTCCATTCGAGTTAGGTATGCCTTGAGTTCTTTCCCTATCCCTGCTTCTGATGTTTCTATGTCCTCCTGTAGAATTAAGTTGTCTTGCATTGTTTGTACTCCTTTTTTCCCTTGTTTTCTCATGTTGTCCCCGTTACTTTCCAGCTCTATTTGATTGTCGTGTTTCTGCTCTCTTCTATATATTTGTTTTGGTTCTGTATTACTCTGATGTCTCTCCTTTGTGTTGTTAAACTATGCCTGCTAACGTGGATTCTGCTGTGAAGGAATTCCGACGTCTGAGCTCCAGTGACGACACTACTTTGCTATGATGGGCCCCAGTTCCTTGCCAGGGTGTCCTAATGAGGGGGTGTGACTGGACTGTCTCTGTTTTGTTTCAGCTCCCGGTCGCGGCAGGCGGGCGGTCTCCATCTGTCTAGTATCACAGGCCGCGGGCGGGTGTTCTCCTACCGCCAAGTTACTTGGGCAGTGGGTGAACTGTCGCTGGCAGGCCTGCGGTTTCCAGCTGCCCAGTCGCGAGGGCCTTGCCTCTAGTCTCCTGGTTTCTCCTGCTAGTCTTGGCTTTTCCTGCTAGACCAGATTTCCCCTGAGTGATGGTTCTTGGCAGTTCAAACTGTACTCTGGGCCTGCCGTTTGTTGGGTGTGGAGGGTGACTATTGGGAACCCCAGCACTCTATTGTTTTGTTTCCGTTGTGGGGGATAGGACTGTACCACTTCCTTCCTTTATGCAGGCTCACTCTGATACTCCTTCCCCCTGAAAGCCTAGGAGAGATTTTATGTGAATTCCCGATGTATGGGGGATGGGCTGAGTGCCACACACCTGTTTTGTTGTTGCAATCTGTCGGAGAGTGGCGGTGGATACTTCAGCTTTCCAAGATGGTGGCCGCTGATTGCCTTGGTGGAGTGTCCGCTGTGGGGGATGGGACTGTACCGCTTCCTTCCCCGTCTAAAATCCCGTACTCAGCCCGGGGGTCAGTGCGCGCTTGGCTGGCGGGATTACACCTAATGGCAGTAAATTGATTTTAAAAGCCATATTGCATTCATTTTGGCACCTATAATTTCTCCCCTGATCTCTATATTCTAACCATAATTAACACTGAAAAATAACCATTAATTCTTTGAATGATATCCAGCTTTCTTAAAAGCATACCTTGATACTGGAAGATTTAACATTTATGGTTTTAATTAACATAAAGAACCATAGCATGTAATGGTTTGTGATTTCACTGAATCATTAATTTGAATAGTGTGTTTTAAAGTTAGGATGAATAAAATTATCAGGCAGCTCAGTACATAAACACTGAGAAACACAAACAAACAGCAAAAACAATAGCAATAAAATCAACTTTCTACATCCAGAAGCTGGCCTGGTACTATCTCTTCTGTTTTGGTGTGACTACAAGTTTGCCGTGCACTCACAACAAACTCTCCGTGTTCTCCCATTTAACATACACAATTTCATATATCATCAACATTAGATGATATCACTCTGTAACCATGCAAATAAAATCAAGACTACTCCATAATCATGGCAAAGTCCAGACAAAAACATGAATTGCTCAAGCCCAAATATACCAAAATACTCCTCTTGGGGGTGTTAGTTTTCTACTGCTGCTATAGCAAAATCACCATAAACTTAGGCATTTTGTTATCTCAGTTCTGTAAGTCAGAAGTCCAATAGAGTACATTTCACAGGGGTCTTCTGCTCTGGACTTCACAATACTGAAACAGATGTTGACAGGTCTGCATTTACTTCTAGAGGCTCTGGGGAAATAATCTGCTTCCAAGCTCACTCAAGTTTTTGGCAGAATTCAGTTCTGTCAGTTGTAGGACTGAGGTCCTTCTTTTCTTTGTTGACTGTCAGCTAGGGGCTTTTATTTACACCTAGATATAGCTAGCATTCTTCTTCATGTTCATAACATGTCCTTATGTTTAGCAATGGTGAGTAGAGTTGTACTTCAGTTTTCTGATTTCTTCTCTGCCACATTTTTCCAGCCTGATGATCTACCAAGGACTCCCTGTTGGGTATTCAGCAGACTATTGATCATAAAGAATGTGTGGGGACAAGAGATGAGACTGGGGAGAGATCAACATAAAATGATTGTAAAGGAATTACTAAATACTTACACAGGGCCAGAAATAATACCTGTTCCCACAATTCTGACTGGAAAATATCATAATGCATATAGCATTGAATAGTGTACACAGAAGCACATTGCTTCAACAAAGTGGGAAATTATTATCAATAGACTAAACTTCTCTTCTGGTCCAGTCTAAGAAATGTTAAAAGCAAGATGTAGAAGGACCAAACTGTTTCCAAGTAACTTCAAATTCAGTTCACTTCAGAGCAAGGTTCAAGAATATTTTTAGGAATATAAATATATCCAAAATCCAACAGTAAAAAATTCACAATATTGTGCACCCAAAATTATTACCAGTAATGAAGAGAAGTAGGAAAATCAGACCCAACATGAAAAGAATAATCAATTGACAGAGAACTGATCAGTAGACAAGGCAATTAAAAGTTTTTATAATTGTATTCATATGTTAAAAAGTTAAGTAGCAACATAAAAGACATAGAAAAGATCCCAAAGCACACTTTATAAAGGAAAATATAATGTCTGATAAAGAAATGCACTAGAATACTTACCTGGCAGGGAAGATACTATGATCACAAAGGTGGTTTTCCCAAGGCGAGGCATTTTCATTGCATTTTCTCAAATCATTTCATTGATTTCCTCAAATGTGGAAAACTCTACTGCATAATTTGTGATAGTGGGAACTGTGTTCGTGCTCTCCTACATAGGATTAATGCAAAGCTAAGAAGAGCACCAGGAAATATTAGTGTACTTGAGCACCTAGTAATAGAAACCATGAAAAAAAGATGCAGAAAAATAAAAATAAAGTGAATATAGCATAAATGAACTATGATACAACTTTAGGTAGGGCTGGGGATGTGGCTCAAGCGGTAGCATGCTCGCCTGGCATGCGTGTGACCCGGGTTCAATCCTCAGCAACACATACAAAGATGTTGTGTCCGCCGAAAACTAAACAATAAATAATAAATCTCTCTCTCTCTCTCTCTCTTAAAAAAAAAAAAAACTTTAGGCAGCTTCCTGTGCATGGAATTGGAATTTTTGAAGAGCAAGAGAGGTGGAGACATGAAAAATGGTCACAGAAAAAATAGACAAAAATTTTCCCAAAATTATTAAAATTATAAACCCACAAATATGTCAGAACTCCAAATAAGAAACATGAAAGTAAGTACACCAAGGCACTTCATAATCAAATTGTTTAAAACCAGTGATAAAGAGGAAATCTTAAAAGCAGCCAGAGGAAAATGACATGTGTGTATAGACGAATAATAATAAAGATGACATCATATTTCCTATTGGAAACATTTCTACTAAAAAGACTGTGGAGCAACCTCCTTAAAGTGTGAAATAAAAAAAAAATGTTCATCTAGAAATCTTTATCCAGGCAAAATCTGCTTTTTAATTTAAATATTTTAAAGACTTTCTCTTGTATTCAAACTGAAAGGAGTCATCAACATCACAAACAAATGTTAATGGAATTTCTTTGAAGCAAAAGGAAAATAATGTCCAATGGAAATCTGGATCTATAAAAAAGGAATGAAGAACATCAAAAATGATAACTACTGGGCTGGGGATGTGGCTCAAACGGTAGCGCGCTTGCCTGGCATGCGTGCAGCCCAGATTTGATACTCAGCACCACATACAAACAAAGATGTTGTGTCCACCGAAAACTAAAAAATAAATATTAAAATTCTCTCTCTCTCTCTTTCTTTAAAAAAAATGGTAACTATAAGTTGGGTATGATGCTGCCTGTTATCCCAGCATCTCAGGAGGCTGAGGCAGGAGGATCATAAATTCAAATCCAGCTTCAGCAGGTTAGTGAGGTGCTAAACAACTCAGTGAGACATTTTCCATAAATAAAATATAAAAAGAGCTGGGGAAGTGCCTCAGTGGTTAAAAGACGCTGGGTTCAATCCCTTGCACTTACCTTTATAAAAAATAACCATTTAAACAAAATAACTATTAAATTTGAGGCAAAAATAGCACAAAATTCAGGAGGAAAGAATTGGATATAAATTTTTAAAAGTTTTTCACACTATGTATGAGATTGTATAGTGTCATTGAAAATATGTATGAAGAATTGAATTTGGTGTCAACATACCTTATATACAAACAGAGATATGAAAAACTGTGGTATATATGTGTATTAAGAATTGTAATGCAAAAAAAGACTACATGTATAATGGCATAATTTTTGCGTGAACATACTTTATATACATAGTTACAAAAAGTTGAGCTGTAAATGGTTAATAATGAGTGTAAGGCATTCCAGTATTGTTATGTATGAAAGAAAGAAAGAAAGAAAGAAAGAAAGAAAGAAAGAAAGAAAGAAAGAAAGGAAGGAAGGAAGGAAGGAAGGAAGGAAGGAAGGAAGAAAGAAAATTGACTGAGGAGCTAAAGACAACTATTATAATTGCTAAAGTCAGACTAAAATAACAAACTATGTTTAGGAAGAAACTAAATAAATAATAAAAGTGAGTAATAAAAATAATAAAATAGTTTAAAATAAGAAAGAGGATTGGAAAAGGACAGAAAAAGATGCAATGAATAGAAAACAATTGAAAATTGGTAGGCAAACATACCCACAATAATAAATGTATTAAATGTAGATATCTAAATGCCTTTAATTAAGAGGCAGAAACCATCAGATTGGAAAAATGTCAGAGCCGATTATATGCTATCTACATGAAATATGCTTCACAAAATTAGAAAACTAAAAGAAAATTAAACTTTAAGAAAAGTATACTAAAAATTGAAGCAGATCAAGGAAATAAAAACCAGATAAAATGATAAATAAAACCAATATAAAGAAAAGATGATTGTTGATAAAAATTAGTAACATTGAGAAATCTCCAGAAAGATTGATCAGAAAAAAAGGAGGACAGAGAGAGATGGGAGGGTGGAGAGAGAGAGAGAGAGGTGGGAGAGAGAGAGAGAGAGAGAGACAGAAGACATTCCTTAAAAACATCAGGAAGATGAAAGGTTACATCACTGTAAATTTTACAAAAATTAAAATGATATTTGGAAAAACATGGCTAACTTTATATCAATAGATACAAAAGCTTCAATGAAGTATATATATTTCTGTAAAGACACATATAATTAAAGTCTACTCAAGAAAAAGAAATAACCTCAATATTTACTTATTCATTAAATACATTAAAATTTTAGTGGAAATCCTTCTCACAAAGAAAGCTACAGGCCCAGCACATGTCTCTACTGATATCTATAGAAAGAATTAATACTAATATTACTCATCACTTTTAGTAAACTGAAGAGGAGAGAATACATTTCAATTCATTCTGGGAGGCTACCATTACTGTGATACCCGCCAGGAAGCACATGGATATTCCTAGTGAATATACATGCATAAAATTCTAAACAATTTTCTATCGAATCCAATCCAACAATATATAAAAACTATACTAAGACTAGTTAACATTTGAAAATCAATTAATGTTTCTCACCACATTAACAAGTGTAAAAGGATAAAGCACTGTATCATCTTTATATATGCAGAAAAAAAATTTAGCAAAAATCTGACCACTTTTTATGATAAAAATATTTAATAAACAATTAAAAGAAACTTTGTTGATTTGCAAAACTAAATTTTATTAATATACTATCAATAAAAAATAAACAATCAGAAATTCAATTTATAGTAATAGTAGCACCTCTGATAGCATCAAAAAGTCTGAAATAGGGCCACATCTTACCAAAGATTTGCAGACCTACCATGGCATATATAAAATTTTACCAAGGAAATTTAAATAAGACCTAATTACATAAAATAGATGTGCTTTGGGCTTGGTTTGTAACTCAGTGGTAGACCACTTGCTTAACATGTGTGAGGCGCTGGGTTCAATTCTCAGCACCAAATGCAAATAAATAAAATAAAGGCCCATCTACAACAAAAAAAATATATTTTTAAAAAAGATGTGCCTTGTTTATGATTCAAATGGGTCTATCTATATGATAGAATGTCAAATTTCCCCAAATATGTGGGATCTACTCAATCCTAAGCAAAATTCAAGCATAATTTTATGGTGTAAATTTTACAACCCATTTAAAAATAACATACACGAAAATAATTGTAAAAAATGTATCAATGGAACATAATGAAAGTCCAAAGTAGACTTGCATATACCATAAAAATGATTTTTGACAATGGTGCAAAAACTATTTAATGAACAAACAGTAATCTTTCAACAAATACACCTGGAACAATCTGATATCTATAGGTCAAATAAATTAACTTCAGTTTGCAACTAAAACCATAGGCCAAAATAAACCCAAAATGGATCACAGATGTAAATGTAAATCCTAATACTATAAAACATACACATTTCAAGAAGACATCAAAGGCCTGGGGTTATAGCTTAGTGGCAGAGCACTTGCCTCGCCCATGTGAGGCACTGGATTCGATCCTTAGCACATCATAAAAATAAATAAAACAAAGGTATCATGTCCATTGACAACTAAAAATATGTTTTTAAAAAGACACAAAAAATATTCATGGATTGGAAGAATTACTATTGTTAAATGGAACATACCACCCAAAGCAATCTATAGGTTAAAAGCAATCCTCATCCAAACATTAATTATATTCTTTCCAGACAGGCAAAAAACAATCCTAAAATTCATATGGTACCATGGAAACAAACAAACAAACAACACAAAACACCAGAATAGACAAAGCAATCCTGAGAAGAAAAAATAAAACTGAAGGCATCACAAACCTGACTGTAAAACATGCTATAGAATCGTAGGTAAAACAAAATAGCATGACACAGGTTTAAAAACTGAAACAGAACAATGGTACAGAATACAGAACCCATACGATTAATCTACATACATAGAGTCAGCTGAATTTTGACAAGGGTATCAAGTATTCATACATTGGAGAAAAGACAGCCTTTTTAAGAAATGGTGCTCAGAAATGGGTATCCACATGCAGAAGAGGGAACTAGATACTTACCTCTCATCATATAAAAGACTCACCTCAAAGTGGACCAAACAAGGATGTGGGGAAAAAGGTACACTCATAAATTGCTCTTGGGACTGTAAATTGGTGGAACCACTATGGAAAGCAGTATGAAAATTCTTCATAAAACTTGGAATAGAACCAGAATTTGAACCAGCTATCCCACTTCTGGGTTTATAGCCAAAGGACTTGAAAATCAGTGTACTAGGGTCTGGGGCAGTAACTCAATGGTAGAGCACTTGTCTCTCACATGTGAGGAACGACATAAAAATAAATAAATAAAAATATTGTGTCCATTAAAAAAATCATCATACTACAGTGATGCAGCCATGTCAATGTTTATAGCAGCTCAATTCACAATAACCAAACTATGGAACCAATCTAGGTACCTTTCAACAGATGAATGGATAAAGAAAATGTAGTATATATACAAAGAAGAATGAAATTATAGCATTTGGTGGTAAATAGATGGAGCTGGAGAATATGCTGAGTGAAATAAGCCAATCACAAAGAACTAAAGGCTGAATGTTTGCTCCAATATGCTGATGCTAATTCACAATAGGAAGGGAGCTAGGGCAGAATAGAAGTACTTTGGATTAGGCAGAGTGGAGTGAAGAGAGGGGAGTGGGTAAGGGTGTAGGAATAATTGTAGAATGAATCTGACATTATTACCCTATGTACATATATGATTACACAATTGGGTGTAATCCTTCGTCATGTAC